AACTCTTGACTTTATCTTAGCCTATTTTCATAGACTTGCATTAGAAAGTATATCCTGGTATGGGGAGAGGGGAGAAAATCAGAAAATCTCTACAGAACTAAAAATCTGTATGTTAACTTTTGAATGTCTGGGAAGGGTTCTTGGAGCATATGAGATTTCTGAAGTTGGGTCAACTAAAATTTAGGGGCCACTGAATGACAATTACGTTTTTTGAGGGAGGGTGTATGCTGAACTCAACAAAATCAATAACTTACATTTGCATAATGTTTTATAGTTTGCAAAGTCCTGACATTCTTCGTAATTCTCTGTCTTTTCTCTATGCTTTTGCCCATTTCTGTTCCCAATTCCTAAAAATTTCTTTCTTCTCCTAGTCTCTTGGTTGATACCTATTTTTAAAATAGCTTTATTGAGATGTAATTCACATACCATACAATTTGCCAATTTAAGTTGTATAATTCAATGGTTTTTACTCTATTCAAAGTTGTGCAACCATCACAAAAATCTATTTTAGGACATTTCCTTCACCCTAAAAGAAATCCTGGACCCGTTAGCAGTCACTTCCCATTTCCCCCGATAACCTCTCCAGCTGTAAGCAGCCACTAATCTACTTCTGACCCTATAGATTTGCCCATTCTGTATATTACCTTTTAATTTTCATTTGAAAGTGCCTTGGGTATTAGAAATTCTTACTTTGGAACTCCTGATCCCTAAATGGTAGACTTCTGTGATAAATCAGAGAGCTGTGACAGAAATAGGAGGGGAAGGGAAATGATATTTAATAACTATTATGTACTAATGTATATCATTATTTTCACAGCTATCCTAAGAGCCATGGATCCTTTAACGGTTTAAGAAGCTCAGGTTTAAAGAAATTAAGTAACTTGTCAAAGGTTACAAAGCAACAAAGTGAGTTTGTAAACGTTGGTTTTCTAACTGGAGCTTACTCATCTTTGCACTAGATCAGTGGTTCTCAAACTTTGGTGGGCATGATAATCACCTGGAAGGCTTATAAAACACAGATGGCTGAGCTCCACCCACAGAGTTCTGATTCGCTAGTTCTGGGGCAGAGCCCAAGTATTTGCATTCCCAGATGCTGCTGTTACTGCTGCTGCTGGTCTGAGACTGCACTGTGCTGCCTAACACTGTCTGAGATAGTGATTGATTAAGGTCACAGAGCTAGATGCTGAAGCAGCTTTAATATCATCAGTCGTCTTTCAGAACAGTATGGATGCTGAAGTGTGATAACATCTATTTTTCTGGCTTGGGAATGAGATAAGCAAATAGAGAGTTGATCATGGTGCATGAAGCACCTAGAGGTAGAACATTTCAATTGGATGCAAAATGTAATGTTCCTTGTCTAGTTCAGAATCGTGGCTACTTAAGGAGAAAAGGCAGGCAGACAAAGGACTGTCAACAGCAATGTCTCTTATTGTTCTTTGGCTACAGCTGCAGTTGCATACGCATGCTGACTTCATCCCCAAATGTTAACTAGGCCAGAACTTGGTCAGACTAAAATCTGTGTAAAGAAAAAAAATAAATCATAGATAGCAAGAAAATGTACTTCCTTAAATATCTTCTAACTCTGAATTTTATTAAAAAACATTTGATTTTTCCTTAATGGGAGGGGAAGGAGGACAGCTTGAAATCACTTAATTCAGAATCTGCAGTATAATTGCTATGGTAGGCTCAAAAGTGATTTGAGCATCCCTAGCTATGGGATTTGGGGATCAAGCTCCCAGGAGAGGATGACACAGCACAGGGAATAGCACGGGCAGCTTGCCTTGCTTTGTGGGGAGCAGAGATGCGAAAGTCCTTGTTGAGGGCACTGGTGCCGAGAGTACTCTTCATAATTTAAATGGACACGGATAACTTCCTTACATGTAGGCGGGCCAGCCCTAGGGATAGGAGAGAGAAAGGAAGACAGGGCGTCCAGAGTGCTAATTAGGCCTTACCTTTATATAGAGTGCTTTTGATTTTTTTCAGAGCATTTTCATGCGTATTATAATAACTCATGCACAGAGGTCAAATATTATTATTAAACAAGGTGCAGAGAAGTGGAGTGAATAGTTCAGTTAATGAGTTAGCTCAACTAGGCAATAGACGAATTAGGACTAGATGTAGACAGTTACTCTGTAATGCCAGGAAAACAAAACATTTAGAAATAAGAGCAGTAATTACATAAATACTATCAAAGGAATGCTGCCTTTCCCTCCAAAGTGTTGGAAATGAAGTTTGCTTGTTGATGCCTTCTTACCTTTTCCATATTCATTCATTCATTCAATTATCATTTATCGAATGCCTCCTACTTGCCTGTCATTCTGCTCAGTGGGTCTGGGGAATGTAGAAGTGAGACACTGTCTCTTAATTTACTGAGGTCCTACTATGTGCCAGAAATTGTTCTAGGTGTTGAGGGTATAGTAATTAAAAAAAAAAAAGAGCAAGAAATATATAAACTAGTTTAGAGTAAGCCAATTAAAGCTAACAAATCAAAGGGAAATAAGTACTATGATAAGAATATCTCAATGGATAGAGGGATGGGTAGATGACCAGTTAAAAAAAGGGAGTATAGTACAATGTGGTTTTTTTTTTTTTTTTTGGTTGGTTGGTTGTTTTTGAGATAAGCACTCACTTTGTTGCTCAGGTTAGATAGAGTTCAGTGGCATCATCATAGCTCACTGCAACCTCAAACTCCTGGGCTCAAGTGATCTGCCTGCCTCAGCCTCCTGAGTAGCTGGGACCATAGCCATGCACTACCACATCTGGCTAATTTTTCTATCTTTTTGCAGAGACAGGGTCTCCCTATGTTCTCAGGCTGATCTTGAATTCTCGGCCTCAAGTGATCCTCCTGTCTTGGCCTCCCAAAGTGCTAGGATTACAGGTGTGAGCCACCCTCCAGGCCAGTACAATGTTAATGGTAGAGTGAAGGTGGTGGGTATACTGGTATTTACTATAAAATCTTTCAACAATGTTTAAAATTTTTTATGACAAAGTATTATGGAAACAAAGCTATAGGAATGATAAGGAAGGTGGGGATTTGGGAAAAGTTCATGAAGGTCGTGGCATTTCTTTTTATCCTCCTCTTCCCCTCAGCTACTTAATATCCCCAGGCTAATCCTCAGGCTGGTCCCCAACTCCTGGCCTCAAACAATCCTCCTGCCTCCACCTCCCGAAGTGGAGGATTACAGGTTCCTGTCCGAGCTCCTGTGGAGTCTGGTGTTGGAAGGTGACGTAAAATAGTCATCCCTTGGTATCTGCAGGGGATTAGTTCCAGGATGGATTGCATATAACCAAATGTGAGCATACCCAAGACCCTCATTAGACCCCTTGGAATCCTCAAATAGGAAAAGTCAGCCCTTGGTATCAATGGGCTACATCCGTAGTATCAGTGGGCTACACCTGCAAATACTGTACTTTTCATTTGCCTTTGGTTGAAAAAAAAGCCACGTATAAGTGGACCTGTGGAATTCAAACCTGTTATTCAAGGGTCAACTGTTGAATTCCTTTTTTTTTTTTTTTTGAGACAGAGTCTCACTCTGTTGCCCCGGCTAGAGTGCCGTGGCGTCAGCTTAGCTCACAGCAACCTCAAAGTCCTGGGTTCGAGTGATCCTCCTGCCTCAGCCTCCCGAGTAGCTGGGACTACAGGCATGTGCCACCATGCCCGGCTAATTTTTTTTCTATATATTTTTAGTTGTCTAGATAATTTCTTTCTATTTTTTTAGTAGAGACGGGGTCTCACTCTTGCTCAGGCTGGTCTTGAACTCCTGAGTTCAAGCAATCTTCCCGCCTCGGCCTCCCAGAGTGCTAGGATTACAGGTGTGAGCCCCCCGGCCTCAACTGTTGAATTTCAATAGTGAAAAGAATGTTTGTGTTTTCTGATACTCTTAATTTTCTTTAGTAATTTTTTTTCAAAATAATTTTCAACTTAAGGTCATTTAGTAAGTTTTAAAAGAGAATGCTATTGACTTAAGTTTTGTTTTAGACTGTAGCCTCCATTAGCTGGTTGATACCAGCCCCAAGTTTACGGGAGCAGAGACTGGAAGTTACTAGACTGCTCCTACCCCTGTTCCCCAGCAAAACTTCCCTCTCCAGTTTCAGCCCTTTAGAGGCCTTTTCTCTTCAAACATTAATATAGGGCATAGACTATGCTAGATCCTGTACTAAGAACTTTACACATAATAATTCATTTAATCCGCTCCAAAATCCTAGGATGTAATTGCCATTATTATTCCCATTTAACAGATGAGAACACTGAGACACAGGGAGAATAAGTAACTTGCTCAGGGACCTGGATGTGAATGCAGAACTCTGGCTTCAGAGGTGGAGGCTGTTCTTAGTCACCGTCTGGTACTGCCTTTCCGACCAAGTGACTAACTGCCAATCTCTGAAAAACCAGTTCAATTAAAGGTATTAATAGATCAAAATGGCGTTAAGCGTTATTTCAATGTTTCCACAAACCCTAACTCTACAGGAACCTCGGTGTACGGGATTTGAGATACTGTGGTTTGGAAGGGCATTGATTTTTCTAGGCAGGGCACCCTTCACATAAGCCCCTCAAATCATCCTTTGGGGAGTTGCCTGAGGACAGGCCTGCTAAAGAGGACGGCGCTTGGGGATTTCCATGACAGGAAATATCTAAAGCCAGCGGCTGACATATTATTTTGGCAAACGGGAGGGGGAAAAAAAATCTTGTTTTCTGGAAACACAAGTTTTTACTCTGGATAATGGTTAAATGACATTAACTCTTTGTTCCATCTTAATCTTCTAAGCGTGCTCCAATTTTGCTTCTCAAACCTGGGTCATTCCATCCATCATTTAGTCCGCCTACTAATGCCTTCAAGCTTTTTCTTTCTTCTGACATAAGTGGTAGCATACCAAAGTACGACACAGAAAAGCCTGTTTCTTCTCTCGGGTCCGCCAGGGAGCGTCGGGAAAGGGTTAATCGGGCGGGTGGGAGGGCGGGTCGGGCTCAACACCTTTCCCGGGGACCTCGGGCGGCGGCGGGGCCTGGAGGGGCGGAGGCTGCGGCCAGACGCCAGCCGCCTCCGCCTCGGCGAATAGCAGCGCGCTGCCCGCCCGGATTGGAGCAGCAGCATCACGCTGACCTCTGCCTGGGATGTAAACCGGCCCGGCCGCTGCGGGCAGAGGACGGCGTCGGCTCCTCCGGGAAACCCAGCCCCGACACCGGGCTCCCAGCGGCTCTCAGGCGAGCAGCGGCGACCTCGGCCCCGGCAGCGCCGGGCCGCGGCTGCGGGAGGCGCAGGGAGTCGGACGCGGGCGCGGGCGGGAAGCGTGCGCCCGTGCGCACAGGCAGCGGGAGGAGGGGCGGCGCGAGCCATGGCCGGGGACAGCGAGCAGACCCTGCAGGACCACCAGCAGCCCGACAGCGGCGAGCCCTTCCTGATCGGCGTCAGCGGGGGCACGGCCAGCGGAAAGGTACGGCGAGGCCCCGCAGCTGCGCTCCCGGCCGGCCCGGGCCCGCGGGCGGCGCATGTGGCTGGCGGCTGCGGGCCGTGTCAGTTGCTGCAGCCGCCGCGTGGCCCGCGCGCCTCCGCTCCCGGCCGCGCTCCGGCGCCGAGAGTTCCCCGCGCGGGCTCAGGGCTCCGCGTAAGGGGCGGGCGGAGACTCGGGCCATCGAGGTTCCAGGGGCGCCTGGCCACGGTCACAAGGCTGGCGCGCTCTCGGTCGCTTGTTCACCCCTGTGCGGCGGTAACTCGTGGCCGGGGTCCTATGGGGGAGGGGCAAGGAAAGCGGATGCTTATTGTTTTGCAAGTCCAGTGCTGGGGGCGGGGGCTTTAAGCAGGGCCCCCACGAGCCACTGATGCACCCCTTCCCCCCGGCCTTGCACTGACGTGCTCGTCCTGCGGCGCAGCTTGGGTGCCAAGGGCGGAGCGAGCCAGGAAGCCCGACTGCGAGGGTTGCGAGGGTGGCGGGAGCGCGCGAGGCGGCGTCCCGGGGAAGGGGCGCACCATATGGGGCTGGGCCCAAGGGCTGGGGATTATAGGGGTTTTCGGGCAAAAGCCCGAGAGCCCAATAGGTGCGGCGCATCAATGAAACGATAATAGCAGGGGCTTCCGTTTTTCCTGGTTTTAAGAGGAAACGTGGTCGGCTTCAATGAGAAAGTTGTGCTGGCTTCGTGCTCTTCGGTGTCCGGCGCGTACGCGTCTTGCATCCACGGAAAGGGGTCATCCTGTGGGTTTCTGACTCTCCTAGGAGCCTGTTTCCTTTGTTTTATGGGCAAGGCAAGAAGACACAAGGGAAATGACTTCCTAGCTTTACCGGGGCTTTTTCTGCAGGTGGAGAAGGGTGGAGTCCTCCCAGATGGTTCTTTCTTTGCTCCCCTAACTGCTTTTAAGACGTGGCTACTTGTTTCCTCCACCGTTTAACAAACAGCTTCCAACTTCACGTGGAGCACGGGCTCCGCAAGGGGAGCCTGCGAGAGCCGGGTGCTGCCTGCCAGGGCTGGGAGGGCACAGCAGGAAGCCTGGTTGGCGCCATGAGGAGAGCGCCACGAGGTTGTCGCTCCCGGGCCGCCGGCCCCGTAGCCCCTCCTCCACTGTGGCTTTACATTTTTCTCTCCAGGTCTGGACTACTTGGGCGCCAGGGACGCGGGCGCGGCGGCGGGTCCTGTGGAACTTATTTATTAAGTTGATTTCGTCCCTAGCTCCCGGGGCTGGGTATCAGCCTGCTTGCTTAGGTCCCTTAAGTTTGTATTCTGTGTGCTCCCTGGTTGAACGCTTTTTTAAAATTTTTCATTTTTTTAATGTGTCCTTTACTAGTAGTAATTCAAAGCAAAACCAGGATGCCAGCCCTTTCAGGAACCATTACCTGTTCTTTTAGAATTATTCTTGCTCTCTTTTCCGTAGCATATTTCCTTTGCACTGGGACCTTTTTTTGTTCATGGCAGTATTTCCAGCGCTCCTAGCGCAGTGCCTGGCGTATAGTGGGGTCCAAATTTTAACCCGGAGTCCAGTCTTCCTGGGGGCGGGGGAGGGATCGCTTAAACTTGCAGATGGGTGGAATATTTAGAAACAAAATGACCTTGGCTATCATCTAAATAATTTAATCACCATAGAGGTGAACACTGAGACATGAAAGGTGAAGTAAGTTCGTTCTCATTACTGTGTTTCTCAATGGTCACCTGTTTGCAGATGATAATCAGTGTAAGCTGTTACGTGTTGCTTAGATAATGTGTAGAATGGGAGATAGTAGTGAGACAATATGAGAGTCACCAATTGTCTGCTGTCCCTGTTTTTCATCCAGGAGGAGGAGTGTAGAAATTCCCAGGAAAGGAAAGGTCTGTTTTCATTCACTTTCCAAAGCATGTTGTACGTTTTTGACATATGATAGTTTGTCGTTGTTTTTATAATTTTTGTTATAAAAAAAGTTCAAAGGAGCCTTGGAGTTGTAACATTTCATATTCCTGTCCTTAGTGCCTTTCTAAGAACTTCAGAGTTTTTTCTTTTTCTTTTTGGGAGGGGGAGGCTAGTCAGCATCAACCAACCCGACTCTTTGGAAGTCTCAGACCTGAGCACTGTGGTGCGGTAGGGTTTGGAAGCGAGGCAGGTTGATACTTGGTGCTGGTTAAAGGGATTTGGGAGAAGACAAAGGGCTTTAGAGCATCATCAAAAAGAACAGTTTCAGAGCCCAGAAGGAACCTCAGAGGCTCTGGAGTCCCAGTAGTTAATTTCATCACTTACAGATGAGGAAAATGAGGCCTGAGTTAATATGGATTCAAATTGAGTATTTAGTGGCAGAGCCAGGAGCAGACCAGTGTTGCTCTGTCCCTGCTGTTGCCTTGTGTAAGAACTGAGGAAGGCATGCAGAAAGGAGATAGCACATGTTTATGCTGTCACCTTGCAAAGGGGCTACCTGGAAATGGCTAGAAATGAATGTTGGTTTTCAGAGGCACTGACCCCAAAGGAAATGGAAATGCAGACTGTGTGGTACCCTGTAGCCCAGCAGTCTGTGTAGGTCTTGATTGTTTTCTCCCTTCCCCCATCCCTTCTTTATAAAAACAGATTTTCTTGAGGGATAGGAAGCATTTTCTTGTGTGGGCTCTAATTTGTCTCAATGTTGTGGCTGCCCAGAGTACAAGTATTTTATCTTAGACTAAATTATTTTGGTTGTAGAGGGCAAGACTAGTGATTGCAGCTCCATATATCACATTTTTTAGTTTCTTTTATAAATGAAGATGAATTAGATAGAACTTTGAACTTTGCTAGGCTGACATGGCAAATTATTGTTTAAAGGTCATCTTAAAATTGTGGTGGGTTGAGAAGGTTACTCTGACCTATGTTAAAAACCAGATTCTCATATTTCCTCCTAAAGGGTGAGTCCAGAGATAGCAAGAAATAACACTGGAAGGAAAAAAAAAATGTCTAAACTTTTTTGCCTGCAAAAAACCCCTGACTTTTATGGGCCATTTCTTTTTCATTTTTGCTGTTCTTGTGACTGCCTCCTCGGCCAATGAAAACAGCTTCTAAATCTCCTTTACGCTGCCATCAGAGTGGTCTGCCTTAGCTCTGGTTGTGCCATTCTTCTTTTTGGAAACCTTGAATGACTCCTGATTGCTCAGCGTGCAGGTCAAATACTTCAGCACAGTACAAATCCCCTCAGCCCCCAAATGCGGTCCCAGGCTGTTTATTTTTGTACTCAGCCAAAAAATGCACATAGACATATATCTTACTGAACTGTCTTCACTTACGCTTTTGCTTCTGGTCTTCTCTTTGGAATGGCCTTTAGTCCTTTTAAGCCTCAGCTCTGTTGATAGATCTTCCAAGGAGCTTTGTTATCCATTTCCCTAATACAAATTTTTTTTGCCCTCTTCTGCTTCCATAGACTTACCACATTTTGCCTTATTCTGTGCTTATTTGTTGACTGCTTCTCCCACCAGAGTATAAGAGACTACTGTATTGAGTGCTTGGGAATAGGAGGAAATCAGAATTTAGGGAAATATGAGAGAAGGTCTCTGTCCTTAGTGTTTTACTGTTTTGTTTATAAGCTCCTTACACTCAAGCCAATTTATCATTAAAGCATTTGATTATTTCTTCCCTTTGAAGTCAGGCACGTGTCTTCCCCACTGGTAGATGACCATGGAAGATGAGGTTAGGAGAACTTTTGACTTAGTAATAGAACTGGGATTGGGATCCAGATTTTTCCTTTTCTAAATCTATTCGTGTATTGAACATTGTCCACAAGCAGCGACCACTCCTTGTAAGTATTTTTAGGGAGGTGGGTCTGTGTGTGAGTAATGCAGGACAACAGAGGAAATTGCAGTCCCCTCAGAGGTGTGGACTGTCACCTCAGTGCAGCTTGACCATGAGTCAGCATCTGCTTTTGGAGAGCTTCAGACGGTGCTTGGACCCATGTCACCCTGGCTCCCACTGCCCTGTTCCTGGAACCTCAGCAGCCATTGCCATCCAGCTGGATCACTTACTCCACACCGTCCTTTTATTAGGTGTTCCCAGAACCATGGGACTGGTTTGGTGCTTCTGCCCTGTTTTTCTCAGAGCTGGCGTTGTGTGTTTTCTGTCACCCTAAACTGCTGCTGTGGCTGGGAAGGCCTGGCGTGATCTGGCCCTTCTGATGTGCTGTCTTCTCCTCCTTGCTCTGGCTAGGCCTGCCACACCCGCTGCTTGGCAGGCCATGCTATCCTCCATCCAAGGATGTACGCATTTGAAGTTTGCTCTGCCTAAAATTCTTCTGTCTTGTTCATTGTGCGGTGCCTAGCACAGTGCCTGGGAGAATGAAGAAGAAACAGCAGGCCCTGTGGTCTGTAGCAGTTCTCTCCTGCTGCCATATTCCTTTCCCCAGCCTGTCCTTCTTTATTCCTTGGGTGTCTTTGAAGTGTGGTTTCTGATGCTCGCTCTGTCTGTGGTCACCTAACTCCAGCTCACTGCATAGCATTTGCTTTGATGTTATTTCTTTGTCTTTGCTCTTTTTGAGGTTCTGTGATGGGGACAGATTGTAGTTGGGAAATTCACTGCTGAAGACCTGACCTTTTTTGCTAGTGGGCTCTGTGATGGTACTGTTGGAACTGCTCAAGGTCTCTAAATCTTTTAAATGTTATGTCTTAATTTTTCAAATCAATAGAAAAGGTTTGAGAGTGTACTCCCTATATATGTATGTGTGTGTATGTATATATGCTTTCTTGTCCATTATACCATTTTGTCATTAAGCTGATTTATCATTAAAGCATTTGATCATCTTTTCATATATGTATCATATGTATAAAAATATACGTATAACTCTATATTTGTAATTATGAAATTAGGAAATTCCTACAAAAATAGGAATTATAAAAGAATGAGAAAAATGAAACATCTAGAACACATGATTTCTTTAATGGAATAAACTCTTTTGATTCTTAACTAAAATATTTATTTGTGATGACAGAATGTTTTATTTTTAAAAGTCTTGTGTAATACTTGGTG